TGGGAGGCCGCGCTGCCGTCGCTCCGCGGGGATAAATCCTCCATTGTAGTGGGAATTTCCACGGGCTCATCCCCCACAGCCCTCGAACGACTTTCCCTGGCTCAACAGAAACGCATCATGGAGAACCAGACTTTATTTAGTTGCCTGATTCCAAGGTCCCAGCACCCGTCCCATAAAGGACGCCCTTAGTGAAACTCGGGAGTCCTGGGGTGAGGCCCAGAGCGTTGTAACCAAACACTGATCAGGAGGGGCAAACACGAGGTAAAAAGTGATTCTCGGGTCAACTGGTAAGCAATGGGATGCCTCTGTGCTTTACTTTATGTGCTATTATATTAATTAAACGAGCTGTGAGAAATTAAAGTAGCATCTCCTTAGGTTTGTCAGCAGAGCAGTGCGGTTCAGGAGAAACAAGGAATGTGACAGACCCAAACAAGGTACCTTAAAATAGCCCGTGCATATTTTAAAATACCTTAAAATTTTCAGGTGTAAAATCATGCACAGTCGAGAGAGACAAAGAAAAAAAAAAAAACCCAAACAAAAGCCCTGCTCGGTTTTCAGGACTTAAATTATTCACAATCATGAAAAAGAAGACCTATGGCAGCCCTGCAGACAACTTGCCGTGTAGCTGTGTCAGTAAACCCATCAGGACACACATGGTGAGTAGGGAAAGGGATGGAGAGAAATTGTTGGAACATTTTCAATGTGCTGGATTTAATCTCTGCTCAGTGGGATATTTGCACAGCTTCAGCAGTGAGGTTTTATAGCGCTGGAACACTACAGAGGAGTGACAGAATCCTGGTATGAAATTCCTGTACTTGAAACTGCGTTAGGGAAGCGTATATTAGTAGGTGTGATTTCAAATGAATTAGTAGATAGAAATGTTTTGGACTCGCATCCATTAATTAAGGCTTCAATTGGAGTAAAAATACCTATATTAAGTACTGTGGCCTTTCTGAAGTCCCTGTACAAGACCTGATTTCACAGATAAATTATTCTTGTATGGTTATCGAGACTACAAACCTATCCAGAGAGGGAGACAGAAACATTCCCCAAAGAAAAAAGTTTGTTCTACTATGGTTTCATTTGAAAGTAGACAGAAACATTCCCCAAAGAAAAAAGTTTGTTCTACTATGGTTTCATTTGAAAGTAGAGATACACTGAGTATCAGTGAGATACAGTGAGATACACTGTCCCACCCTCCCTAATTGTGCTTACATTTGCAAGCACTTTTAATACACCGAGCAGCACACTGAAGTGTTTCTGTAGAGAAGTGGTAGTCAATGCCAGATGGTGCTGTGTTAGTTAAATTTCACTGAGTTCAAGAGTTGATTAATTGGTTCCAGTTGTTTGCTCACTAAGTGAGAAATACAGGCTCTCTCTCAAGGAGGCAATGGTCTTGCACCACTTGCTATTTTATAGGAATCAGTATATTATGAGTGGAGGGATGATGGAAGGGTTTGGTCCTCTGAGAGGAGTAGCTGGGAGCCACCTAAAGACTTCGCTGAAATGAATGTGGAATTTTTGCTGCTGTGGGAACAATTAAAGATTGCAGGATATATCTCACACAGCAGGATCTTATTTTAGTGAAGACACAGATTTTCTCACACAATCCCTCATGAGAGGAAAGCCTCTCATTTCTTGGGCATAAATATTAGAACAAGACTTGAAATAATTTGTCTTCTGGCAGACACTTTACACTTAATCCAAGTAGCTGGGGCTGATGCTCCTCACTAAGGAATCCATGAGCCTTCCATGCTAAGTTACCATTTTTAACATGCAGATGGTAAAAATCTTGCAGGGGACATCACTGGCATCAATAGCACTGCTCACCCTCACTGTGAACAACTGGGTAATGAGCACTTAGGAGTGGATAATTAAAGCCTGAAGGTTGTCTGAACAGCTGATTAGCTGTTCCTGCAAAGAACTAAATCCACGTGTAGGAATTTATTTCCTGAACAAGAGTTTCTTGTTACTTTTTTTTTCCCCTTAACCTGTTTCAGAAGCTGTTGTGCTTTAAAAATAACAGCCTGCCTTGATCTATGCCTTTATTCAGGAGGAGACTGAAGTTAAAAGAAGACAGGGTATAGGACACACTGGTTCCATGCTTCAAATTACAGCTCTTCATTAGTGATAATGAGGTAAGAAGGCCCTAAGTGACTTGCTAATGTTTCATTTTTTTCACTTTCTGCTTGGTTTCAGATCACTTAATATTTCCAGGAAGGCACTATCAACAACTGGACGGACACAAATGATACACTGATAAAATGTGATACGTTACAAGCAGATAAAACTAAGAGGAAAATTGTTTCATCTCTTTGTTTTTTCAGTTGTGTTTCTTGCTTATACCTGCTTCATTGAAAAAGAAAAAACAACCCCCACAGCCCCACACAAAAATATGAGTGACATTATATTCCAGCTATTGATTCCTGGGTTTTTTCATTCCTCCAGTGCACGGCATGAGCAAAATATGTCAGAAATAATTCCCTCTTTTGTAAAATTAATGTCAGCAATGCAACTTTCCCCTCCCCTGCCCAAGTCTTTCTTAAAGGAAAAAATATATATTTCATAGGGATCCCTTAGTAATTAAGATTTTTTGATTATAAGGTTTCCATAAAACCATGTAAGACTGCGATGACAGAATCTTCTGCTCACAACTCCTCTGACAGGACTGTGTAGAGACCACCCACAGCAAAGTGGCATGAATTGAAGAGTGACACTGGGCTGTCATTTTAGTTGGGATTTTTACATATAAACAGACTCCACGGAGAATGGAGGCGACCTCTGGCACCAAAGGAGCAGAATTTTTGTGAGCAAACCCTCTAGTACTCAATAAATGAAATAGAAAGAATATGCTGACTTCTTGAGTTTCTGTATCAACTCTGACCACAGAAGGTATTTCAGAGGAACACAAAACCGACACGAAGACAAGCCATGAAGAATAGTACAACCTGTGAATAGTAGTACAACCCATCTCATTATTTTGAAAAACACTCTTGGAGAGTTAAGAGTTCTCTCCAGAATGAAAAGGAGCTGTAATTTTAATTTTTTTTTTTTCCTACTGCTTTTACTTCACCCTAAATGTTTAAAATGCTTTTTTTTTTTTATTTTTTCGGATCACCTGCTATGCATAGCAAGCATGTCAGGCATGAAAGAAAACCATTATTTGCAGCCAACATGCAAATGTTGCAGGCATGAGTAGCCTTATTCCACTTAGAATATATTCACGTAAGCAATACCACGGGGCAGCAAGTTTTTAATCCAGCTCTGAAACAGAACATTTTCTGTGAAGTCACTGAAAAGTTCACGGTGTCATGTTGGCATACAAGCACACTTATTGTGCATAAAGCAGCCTCAGAGTGCCGTGCCGGAGCAGGCTGATCCTCCTTGCTGTGCTCTGTGTTTGCATCCCCAGTGCTCACAGGAATGGATTTCACACGGCTGCTCCGTCTGACGCCTTGAGCTGGAGTTAATAACCGCTTGTTAGTTTCCATAGCAAGAGCTGCTTGGAGCTGGCACTGGAAGTGCCCGTGCGCTTTTTCTGTGCAGCTGGAAATAAACCAGCGTGGCTGAGAAACAGGAAACTGACGCTTAGCAGAACTGGAGATGAGCTTCTCTTGGATTCTGCTGAATGGGATGCGTTTTTCTCTGTAAAGTCTCCGCGGCTGTCAGCTAGCACATGGAAAATGCCATTTAGGGTGGCTTTCAGAGTCCTGCACGGGCCTACTGGGCAAGATCCTATTGTCGAGATGTCTTTGTCGGGGGATACCGTGGAAAATCGCGCGTTAGGGATGGTGAATGCAGGAGGAAAAGCAGCTGCTTTGCATACAGCGTGCCGCCTCCTGCACATCCACTTAGGGATTTCTTTCCCATCCCTCTCGGATTTGTGTGCGAGTTAGAATGCATTATCCCCTTCCCTTAGAGAAGGGTTCAAAACGCTTATGGCATGGATGCAACAGCATCAATCCGTACCCAGAGCATCAGCACTTTTCTCTGCACGTGTAAGAGTCCCGGGCTCCCCGTCGCTCCCTTCACCTGCACGTCCTCCCCTTCTCCAGGAAGGAGGGAGGGAAGCCCCAGGGCGCTTCGGATCCCCTCCGGCAGCCGCCCCTTCCCTCCCCTTGCCTTGCCATGCTCCCCGGGGCGGCCCCGGCTCACAGCCCCTGTCCCTTCCTGCCGCCGGGACCACAGGGGNCGCGGGGCGCGGGGGAAGCGCGCCCGCTCCTGCCGGGACCGCGCTGCTGCGGCACGGGAACGCTGCTGTCTGTCACGGGGCTGAATCCCTGAAAGCCCGGCTTGCTGGTAAACGCAGCAAAGCAGTCCCTAGCTGCGGCCGTGGATTTTTTTTATTTCCTCCCCCCAGAGCATCATCCCCAGCTCCCGCTATGTGAGAAAATAACTTTTCCCCATGTATTTTCCTGTCGGTCAAAGTAGTGAATTACCCGGTCGATCCTCTTTCCATAAATAACAATATGGATAATTACCAATCCCACAAAATCCGATCCGGTCTTTGGTTCCCTCTTTCACAAAATTTTAGTTACAAGTGGTTTCAGGTGATCACAGGACTCCTTACTGGGTTCCCAAATGTAAAATTCTGATGCAGTATATTGAATGAACAGGGACGTGAATGTGTAAAACCCATCTCTTCACCGTTTTTATTCTTTCCTGTGAACTGCCATAATTCATTTTCTCTGCTCCCTTTTATGAGATCAGTTTTCTCTAATGATGAGAATTTTTCAAGATGTGATCATCTCCTCCAGGTTTTCTCCAACAGCTGACATAAGATCAATAGCTAATAAAGTCTTGCAATCTGTTATAAAAACCATGGATTTTAGTTTCCCTCAGACATTGTGCCTGAGGTAATTACAGCAGCACAGCAATGCAGTAGTTTCCCAGAAAGACCATTAAGAGGGGGACCACTGGCATGATACACAACAGATAGCAAACTGGAAACCACTGAATATTTTGGCACCAAACTCCGTGGGATGGTGGACACCACATGGAGCAAAAGCTTCAGCTTTTTGGGAGACTTTGGCTTGAGTAGGCGGTGGCAGCAACTCAGTTTGGAGAGGGTGAATGCAGAATTTCCATGAGTCTGTGGGTGGGATTCTCACCGAGTAATATGACTCGAATATTTAGGTGTCTTAACATTTTTTCCTTTTCTTAAATTTTTGTTTTCTTTTCTTTGATACCAGCATGAAATTTTAAGAGAAGTACAATCCCTTCTGAATCCTACTCCTGTCAAAGATGAGGAACCACCATCATCCATTGAGTTGAGCAACAGCAAGCAGACGTAACAATTATGACCATAAAATCTTTGGCACCAGGGAGCCAGGGAAGTTGAATGTACACCAGGATTTTGTGTCTAAGTAGCAGTGACTGGAGGAGATTGCTATGCACAGGATCAAGATCAGCATAATGCTTCCACAGTTGGCACTGAGCAAAGAACTTTTTGTAATACCCACATCTTGATTTCAGAAAGCTGATCCAAAATTCATGGTGGTTGTGTCATCATTACCTTAGAAAAACATTTAGGCACCATCCATATTTCAGCCTTTGTACCTTTTCTACGCCCTGAGGGAGCAGAGATGTTCAATTTGTACACAACAGAGGTGTGTTTTCCCAATTCACTTAGGACAACACAAGCCCCACATCCAGGTCTAGAATTTGATGGTAGAAAAGAACAAAATCCCCTAACATTACCATCAAAATCACCCTGTGTGTCCAGAAGGCCTTTCCAAGATCCTTGTCAGGTTTTCCTTTTCCCTGGGTTCCTTCTCACTGGGAGACTTTCTTTTTTTCTTTTGTGTTTCTTAAACTAGTGAAATAATGCTGAATTTAATGGTACTATCATCTGCTACTAGTATTTTACTTTTGCATGGGCTTAAATTGATTATGAACATCTTTATTAGAATTGCTTACAACTCAGCAAAACTAGAACATGTAAATACAAGTATAGAGACCCTCAAAATGTGACAAAATGAGAGAATGTGACAAAATGAGAGAAGGTGACTTAGGTTTTGTGTAGCTTATGAAATGGAAGATCACAAAGCACCACACTGCTGATAAACAGGCCAAATTACTAATTTTAAAATCCAATAGAATGTTTTTCTACGTGTGAATTACAACTTCTACCATATTTAGTATGCCTAGACTCAATATTTATGGATGATACAACTGGAAAATGAAAGAGGAGCAGAGAGTCAAAAGTGATACAGTGGATACTTGCAGAGTCCTATGTTTTTTCCCTGAATATATTTACATTACCTTAGTTGCACCTAAGTTTTTAAAGTTAAAAGATGGGGGTCTGAGCTAGCATTAATCCTGTAACAACTTCTGCAGATACTCTAGCCTTTGACATTTATAAGAATTTATTTTTAGTTTTATAGATTTAGTTTCACTAAAATACAAAGTGCAATTGCATTGTATTTTCTGCAAGATTTTGAGCCACCTGAAAGGAAGGTCACTATTCCATTTAAAGCTCTTGTGTTTGTACACAGATGAGAACATGGTGCTACAGCACATTTTTCTGAATCCAATAAATAGTGCAGTTAGAGAAAGATTATAAAATCCTGCAATGCAGAGAAAACCAAGCCATTAGAGACTGGTGAAGGAGGAAATTCAACCAGTTTAAACACACAGAAATGACAACAATAGAGAATTTTATGAGACACCCTGCCTACAAAGTGACAATAGCATACCTGGGCTCCCCTTCTAACTGTGGTACTTTTGCTGCCTGCTGAACTGCCTTATGAAAACCCTTCTGCCTTGTAACAATTCTGCTGTTGCTGATGTAGAAGAAAAAAAGAAATAGCAAAATACTATGATGCTGTGTTAATGACATACTCCTCTTTCTGAAATTATACTGGTTTTTTTTCTCCAGCAGATGTTAGGCTCTAACAGGTTATGCAACTGTTTCCTATGATGACAAGGTCAGAAGTTTTTGAGTCATAATCCCCTTTTGGAAAAGACTAAAAGAGGTAGTAAAGCTACTTTTGCAAGATTCAAACACTTTTAATCTCCTTGACTTGGCTGGTGAGTTTTAGTGTGCCCAGGGATCAAAGATTAACCAGCATTCATGGGCTGCCCGAGATGGAAATCAGTTTATTACTTCGTATGTAAGATGCGTCATTTATGTCAGGAGTCATAATGATGGGGAGAGTTGAAATGTTTAGGGAAAGACTTCATTCCTTCAATTAAAGGAAAAAAGTCCCTATTTTTTTAATTTTTAAATTTTTAATTTTTTTTTTCTGTTTGATCATACCTGTAAGTAAGGGATACTGTACTTTATGTATTCAATTCCCAAAGTAAGGACCACGGCAAATGTTTGTCACGGTACAAGGTTACTTTCCTGTTCTGCCATTCTATCTAGAAACATTCCTCAAATCTACAGTGGTTTATTTCTGGTATGACTTGATCTTCTTCTGGTTAACAGTGGATAGTGATGGCAGTTCTGTGGTGTGGGTATTGCTGTACTTGGATAACAGGGTAGGCTCTCCTTCACCAGAAGATGCAGGCTCAGGCTGCTACTGCCTGTCTGTTGTCATGTTTGAAAGACTGAGGAGTGGGATTGGTAGGGTATTTTTCCAAGGGGATGTTTCCAGGCTCTGCCTCTTGTCTACAAACAATTGTAAAAATTCTAAAAGACGGAGACAACACTCTAATTTTTACTTCTGACATAAGCAGATATGGACATCCACCTCTGGATTTGCCTTTATTCTAATCAGATATGGACATCTGCCTCTGGGTTTGCTTTTATTCTCATTGAGGCTAGCGGCATATGAAAAAGCCCCAAACACAGATTTTGGTGTTACTGCATCACTTAAAGAATAGCTCCTTGTTTTGTGTCTG